AAAAAAAATTAAACGATCATGGATTACAAAAAAAATAAAAATAATTCGATCATGGATTACAAAAAAATCGATCAAGTATAACAAAAAAATCTATCAAGTATTACACACAAAAAAAAAAAAAAAAAAAAATACCGTACGGGACTCGCCGATTCCGTACAGTGAATCTGCTATCACTGTACAGAATCGTCCGGTTCTCTCTAGAACCGGTTCTCTCTAGAACCGGATGATTCCCGTTTTTTCGCCGATTCGATCCGTCCATGGCGATTCCCGAGTCGAACCGGGCGAGTCCCGTTCGACTCGGCGTTTTTTTAAACACTGAGTCATACCATTTAGACGATTAAAATTCCTTTTTGGTGAGTTAGTTGTAAATTTTTAGTGAAACTATGAATGCTTACCACTAAGTAATTTATGCAATTTATAAGTGATTACTTGGTGGATCATTGAATTTGATTCTTCTGCTTTCCTCCATTTATGCTTTATGATGGGTTTACAAGGGTATGTCGGGATTTGCTACTGTCTTAGGCCCGAATTAGGTAGACTCGGTGACTAGTTCAAATAACTCGAACGAGTCTGAGTTGGAAAGGGCAAGATTTCGAACAATGGTTTTTGTTATGCACTGGTTTTTTTAATGTGTGCAAATTTTTGTTACAAGTTGAATACATTTTGATTTTCAAATTGCTACTTTTGCATAAATAATTGTTCCTATGAATACGTAAATCAAACCTCCAACCGGTAAAACATTCCAAAGTTCAGTATTATGAGACTCAGACGAGATCATTCGTATTCGGCCGAGTAACTCGACCTCACCTATAAGGCGAAGCGAAGTTTGGGTGAGCTGGTTGTACAAAATGTTGGTAGACTTTACTTATATTAATACATCGAATTTAAGTCATATATGTTTGATGGGCTCCACAGTCAGTAACAACGTCTTAGCGTGGTTGGGTTCGAAATCATTTTTTTAAAGACTCTGGATGTTTTACATGATAGTTCTAAACTGCTTAGGTTACTACAAAAACTTTGGCCTTTTTTCTGAATTTTTATTTCCACTCATGTTTTTGCTTTTAAATTTGAGTATTTGATAATCAAGAACATGGGAAAAATTCACTGCCCCAATGTTTGTGTTTATTACAAAAGTTTTATGATTTGTCTCTTCTAAGTTGAGAATCTTCTCCTCTCTCTTGTGACGAATTTTTTCACAGGGTAATTAACATGGTATTGAAATAGAAATTCTAGAACCTATTCATAATATCCATATAAAAAATTAGGATCCTTATTCATCTTTATATGAAATAGTAATAAATAAATATTCCTAAGTGTATATTTTAAAGCTATTGTTGCTTATTCAATGAGCATCCTCCACTTGTCTGAACTCTAAAAATAAAGGATTCCCATAACCACAAAGCTATGAATATCTCCTTTTTTATTGAAAATATGTTAAGGTTTTTTCTTCTAAACCACTATACAGAATTTTTTATTGCTCTGAAAGTAACAATTAACAATTAAACTAATTGCTATTTACTGAAGATTCCTCCCTCTTCTTTGTCACTCCAAAGGTATTGCGTTTTTTTTAGATTTTTGAGGAGATTGCTTACAAATGGTCTCTCCCACCACCCAATATTCAATATATTGATTATTTCAAGTTTTATTTATTTATTGCAAGAAATTGTTGCAATTATTTTTACATGGGACCCAGTTTTGGTTAGTATGCTCACTCACCAAAATATGTGCATCCTCTTACGCCTCAGAAATCCATCCTGGACATAAAAAAAAAAAAGGAAAAAAAGAAAAAGTTTATATAAGGGTAAGGCCCTAAATAATCAAATTAAAACGCACCTTAAAAATTCATTATAAGAGGTTGTTTCTATACTAAAAACACTTAATACGAACATCTCTATCTCAAGATGTATGGACATGAGAAAAAATAGGTTTTAAGTCTAAGAAGTCGTGCATCGTGTAATGTATTACCTAAACCACCAATTTTCAAGTGGTCATAGATGTGCTTAATCTACACTTTTTTTTAATATTTAAATTTTGTAATTGGGGATGAAATTAAATTTTTAGCCATCACAAAGATTTTTTATTCTTAACAACATATCTAGGCACTATTTGAAAGTGCGCCTTACTTTGATTGTTTAGAGCCTCAGCCTTATACATACCACAACCTAAACAAAGGTCAACTACAATGAAGGTTAAAATGGATAGTGGAAAAAGAGAATATCAATAAATATTATTATTAGTTTTCAAAAAAAAGAAATTCGAGAGTCATTATCACCATTTTGAATCTATAATCCATCCTTAAGTTGAATTTGGATTTTTATATTTTATTTTTAGGAAAAACAGTTGAAAGCATCCATGAAAAGGCACAAGTTCCCCTGGATAATGTGAATTGACTTTTGCAGGGGCATTATAATGAAAATATCCTCTTTGTCACAAGGGTTTGCCTTTAATTTCTAAACCAAAAAAAGGATGATTAGTTTATGATTATAAATGCACGTTTAGATAATTAAAAAGGGCTTTTTTGTTTGAACTGAAAATAAGTTAAGTACTTAAAGAAAAATGTTTCATGTGGGCTGGACCAAATTTCTACAATATGCAGTCCAATGGTAAAACGCATCCATCTTAAAGATGGATGAAATAGGTGGTTCATCTGAAAACAATAGTAAGTAAAAGTTTAAATGTTTTCTTAATATAATTATTATTTCTAATTTTTAATTTTATTTTATTTTTTCATATTCATGATCTCTATGTTAAAAATTCTATAGTTTTTTAAAATTAGGATCAAATTATATTTAAAAAATATATTTATTGTCAAAGCTACATTTCTACAATATGTGGGATGGCCACATAGAAACCGTGTCCATTACTTAATAGTGAGTTTGAGAATCCTAATTACTAAAGCCAGAAGATTTAATCCTCCTACGGGAGTATACTATCTTTTTATACAGGTAAAAGTCAATCTAGGAGTGATTTTAGGACAGTAAATGTTGGAGAATGTAACTTCTTCATTCTGCAGAAAAATCTCAATTAATTTTCTTTCCAAATTGTCTTTATGCACTTAAAGAAACTAATGCCACATGATTGAATGCGGACCTTCTAATCGCAAGAGGGTGAGATCTAAGGGGTAGAAAAATTCAAAATTGAAAATTCTCTTTTGAAAATGACAACCTAGTGATCATTAGGTTCGTCCTCAAAATTTAGGATTGAAAAACAAAATCTCCCAAGTAGGTCACTCATTTTGAAAAACGAAATTTAGGATAGTGATTGAAAAGACGATGAAACTTATCTTTAGAGATGGGCGTGTGTACCATGGCCCCTTGGGAGCAAATAGTTTATTTGCTCCATCCGGTGCAAATTGTACTCGGAAAAAGTTTTTTGATTTGAAAATTGAGGATCTATTTAAATATCATCAAATTATTCGTTTTAGAAAGATAAATTTGATTTTGAGCCCTTTAACACTTAGATCTTGCTATCCAAAATTAAAAGGTATTCGTTTAATTAGGGATTTATTTTTTCAAGATATAGAGTGTTTATTTGAATATTCATTTTTTATT